GCAGTCACGGAATTGACCGAGATTCTCACAGCTTGAAAGGAACAGAGCTAGGATTCTAATCAGTTTGCCTCCAAGTCTCTGCTTTTCCACCCCTCTGCCTCCTAGAGCCTTAGGAGGTGGCCAGTAGGGGTGGGTAAGAATCTTACATCCCAAGGTGTATTGAAGCACACAGAAACCAGTCTTAGGAATTCAAATAACGTACCTTATGGCAAATATGGCATCATAATTCTAATTTTACCCATGACGATAGTGTTACCAAGAGGACACATTTACTGAAGCTCACAATGGCAACATAGAATCTTCCTCTCCCAGCCCCATTTCAGTATACTTAAATTAATAAATTACATGCCGCCTCTTTTTTCTGTGATTATTGCTTCAAAATCAGCTGATTCATGGGTTCTCTCCTTCTCAATTCAATTATGGCTTCTTTGCTTTCTGAATTGTCTAGGAGTATAATTACCATACAATTTTCCTTCCTATTTCAAGCCTAAATTGAAGCTGTATTATATACAATTGGTATTGCTTTTCCTCCTACATTTTACATTATTATCAGCAATTATTTCTGACATTCAGCCTGCTCTCTAACTGCACAGCATTCCATTATACTTTGGCCTTACAAGTAAAAATGACTTCTGAGCAAGTGGGCATCATGGAGAGGGAGTGGGGAAGGAAAGAGTGATGGCGATGGACTTGCCCTGATGTGCTTACCTCATTTTTGGAACAGATATTGTAAGGAAATTTATGTTGTTGTTTTTGAGGCAGGGTCTCGCTCTGTTGCCCAGGCTGGAGTGCAGTGGCGTGATCTCGGCTCACTGTAACCTCTGCCTCCTGGGTTCGAGAATTTCTCATTCTCGAACTTCAGCCTCCCAGGTAGCTAGCATTACAGGCATGCACCACCACTCCTGGCCAATTTTTGTATTTTTAGTAGAGATGAGGTTTCACCATGTTGGCCAGGCTGGTCTCAAACTCCTGACCTCAGGTGATCTCAGAATCCCAAAGTGCTGGGATTACAGGCATAAGCCACTGCGGCCAGCCGGAAATTTATGTCTACAGCTGGACAAGTAGTACTTTGAAACAATGGTCGATTATGTTGGACTATATTAGCCATTCTAACCAAGGGGCAGAATCCTTCCACAGGAGCCTAAGTAACTAGTTTCACTAACTTTATAAAACTGGAATTCAATTTAGAAAAACTAGGTTATGCGTACATTAGGAAACTTCTGATTTGAAACAGATCTAACAAGACAAATCTTTATACCTCTTTCTCTCCTGCATAAAGAGAAACTTGAGAACGGCAGATTTCCTCAGACTATATCAATTAGGGGAAAAAAAAGGTTTATTGCATATTAGAGACAAAATGGCTTCTACTACTGCAACAGATATATTAAATCTTCAGTACTGAAAATGTATTCATTTTACCTTTCCCTCCACGTTTTTTCTCTCATCACTTTGTTTTGTTTTGCAGATTCAAGATGATTGGAAGTATGTCGCCATGGTGATTGATCGCATTTTTCTGTGGGTTTTCACCCTGGTGTGCATTCTAGGGACAGCCGGGCTGTTTCTGCAACCCCTGATGGCCAGGGAAGACGCATAAGCACTAAGCTGTGTGCCTGCCTGGGAGACTTCCTCGCGTCCAGCCTGGAGGAGGCTGCTTCTTAGTAGGAATGTACTTTCTGTTTTCATGCTACCAGCTTTATTTATGGCATTTCAAGATTTACTTATTTTCCAGTTGTCTTGGTTTTTGTCAAAAAAAGAATCATGCAGAAAAAATGTCAAGAGTATTTATTATGGATAAATGAACATTTAGCCTTCTTAGTATGGTAACGAGATGTCAAAATGTGATTCTTCTACGTGATAAGTAGTATGCTGTGCTGTGGAACATACATATAAAAATGTTTCCTTTCTTTTTTTAGTTGTTGAGACATAACTGGATAGAAAAATGCTGTTCAGAAATATGAAAAGTCATTCAGTTCAGTATCACTACAGATCTCCCAGTGATTTTTCTTAGCTCATAATCTCTTTGAAGTTTTATACTAATTCAGCAATCCCCCACTGTTACCCATTTCTTACAATGCATTTCTCATTCTTTACTGCGTCTAAAGGCTGTGCTTCCATTTCAGAGAGCTTCAGCTATTTCTCTTGCACAATTCTAAATTATACAATGAGAAGTCATGCCTAGTTATTCATTATTAATAAATTGTCTCAGTACACCATAAACAGGGTGGCTTATAAACAACAGAAATTTATTTCTCAGTTTGGGAGGTTGGGAGGTCCAAAGTCAAGGCATCAGCAAATTTGGTGTCTGGTGAGGGTCCTCTTCCCCAGAGGGTGCCTTCTGGCTGTGTCCTCACATGACCGAAGGGACTAGCTAGCTCTGTGGGGTCTATTTTATAAGGGCACTAACCTCATTCATGAGGGCAGAGCCCCCATGGCCTAATCACCTCTCCAAGGCCCCACCTTCTATCTAAGATAATCACACCGGATTAGGTTTCAACATATGAATTTGGGGAGGACACATTCAGACCATAGCATGAACCTTTAGAACAGGAGTTCTCAGCCTTAGCACTATGGACATTTTGGGCTGGATAAGTACGTGTTGGAACAAAGTGGGGGTATCCTAGCAGTACCATGGCCTCTACCCACTAGATGCCAATAACATATCCTGCTTCTTCACCAGTTATGATAACCAAGAATGTTTCCATTGTTAAATGGAGGCATTTTTGCCCCTGGTTGAGAAACATTGCTTTAAACAAATTATTAAGAAAGAGTATCACATACTACACTTCTGAATCTTAACATGATCATTATCACTGACACAGATGATGATTCACAGAGACTGTTTGAATCTTGTTTCACTAGTTATGTTTTTCCTATGCAAAAATAAAATGGACAGAATTGCAGCCCACTGTGACTCATGTTTCAATAAGTCAAAAGGAAGATGTCAATAAAATTTATTTATGTAGGCCGGGTGCGGTGGCTCATGCCTGTAATCCCAGTACTTTGGGAGACCGAGGCAGGCAGATCACAGGGTCAGGAGTTCGAGACTAGCCTGACCAATATGGTGAAACCCCGTCTCTACTAAAAATACAAAAAAAAAAAAAAAATTAACTGGGCATGGTGGCGTGCGCCTGTAATCCCAGCTACTCTGGAGGCTGAGGCAGGAGAACTGCTTGAACCAGAAGGTGGAGGTTGCAATGAGCCGAGATCGTGCCACTGCACTCCAGGCTGGGCGACAAAGTGAGACTTTGTCTCAAAAAAAATTTATTTATGTATAAAAATCTGAAGTAACAGCAATGGGAATGTAAGAAGGGTCAGGGAGTATACAAGGTAAGGTAGCTAGCAATTTAAATTCATCACACCAGGCTTTCACTCATTAAATGGCATTAAACACCTGCCTACAATAAAATGCAAATTAGACAAGGTCTCCTCTGCCTTCCAAAGAGCGTTGGCTTGAACTTAGATAGGTTACTTACTACAAATAAATAAGGCGTTTGTTATCTCAACAGTGAACAGTTCTAAATTGAATGCAAGGTTTCTGTCCGTTTTCTACCTGGTCACGCCTGAAGTGGTGGCATTTAGAGGTGAAATATAACCGTTGTATCTGTGTTACATTATACTGAGTCATGCTGTACTAGTAATAGGCTATTGATTACATCTAAAGGCCCTTGCAACTCTAAGATTCTATTATTGTAAGTGTTAGAATGAAGGAGAGAAAATTGAAATATTACAGGTCTATAACAGTGTGCTTATACCAAATTAGAATACCATCTTTAATCTTGGAAGATTATTTTCTCACAGAATGCTTTAGACCTGAATATGTTTTTTTATTTATTTTATTTTTTGAGATGGCGTTTCACTCTTGTTGCCCAGGCTGGAGTACAATGGTGCAATCTCAGCTCTCTGCAACCTCCACCTCCTAAGCTCCAGCTATTCTCCTGCCTCAGTCTCCTGAGTAGCTGGGACTACAGGCACCCAATACCACACCTGGCTAATTTTTTGTATTTTTAGTAGAAATGGGGTTTCACCATGTTGGCCAGGCTAGTCTCGAACGCCTAACCTCGGGTGATCCACCTGCCTCTGCTTTCCAAAGTGCTGGGATTAGAGGTGTGAGCCATTGTGCCCAGCCCTAAATATGTTCTTCTAAATGGGTTCATGTAATCGTAGTGCACTGACTGTTCTAAGATCATGGATAAAGAGATACTACCACAGTTTACATGGAAGATGGTTCTATTAATCATGGGAAATGTAGACAAAAGGATTTAAATTAATGTTAAGGACATGCTACTGGGTGTCCACAGGAGTTGTCTAATGTATGACTTTACAGTGGAAGGTAAGCTACAAAAATAGTTAACACAATAATTATTCAGTGTAAGCATCTAAAGAATACAGTAAGCCTTAAGGGAGTTCCCAGTTCCTGTTTTTCATTTATTTTAAAAATGTTAGTTATGGAAAAGCAGCATCACATTAAGTAATTATTATATCAAGTAGTCAGCTTTTTAAATATAGCAGTATAATATTAAAGATTAGCTGTTACTCAGTGAGTACAGGGAAGTGTATGTACCTTTACCAAATGCAGAAATGTTTTAAAATCAGTCTTCAAATACAACTGGAATTTTCCAGCACAGTCAAAGGATGAGCTTTACTGTTTATTATAAATTAGTATTCTTTGCCAGGATACAAATACTAGATTTTTCACTAGTACAGTTTGGATAATATTTTGCTGCTATTTTTAGAAGATCAAATGTTATCTCATCAGTTATTCATTCATACAGGCAACTGTTCTAATGGATCATCTATTAACACATATTGAGGTTAGCAACTATTAATCTGTTAAAGCTTGCACCAAATTTAACACATAACTTACATTTTCATAATTTTGTAGATGCCATAAGATATATGTGTGATAACTAAATGTATGCCTCAGTCCCTTGGGAGGCTTCACTTATTTGCATTTCCAATATGAACTGGTATTATTATATTTGCCCATTTATAAATTACAGGAGCAAAAAGCCCAAGAGATCCAACAATTGAAACGAAAAGAAAAGTCCACAGAAACATCCGATCAAGAACCTGGGCTATGAATTTCCAATCTTCAACAACCTGTTATGAAAAAAATAAAAACACATTAAACAATTGTAAACTGTGTACATATTTTAAGATACAACAAACACACTGATTCAGACGCCAAACAGTCTCTGCCCCCCGTTACTGCCTCTAACTGGGAAGTGACCCTACACTCAGTTCAGGGACAGACACTAGCCTGATGGTCTATTACAGATATAAGCTTTAAAAGAGACTACAAAATATGTTCACATCAACTTGTAATCCATTACAAGTGGTCTAGTTTGATAGATTTTAAAATAAAAATTAAAATAGACTACTTGGATATTTTACAATAAACTAAAAAAAATTATTCTTACTATACAGTTATTCTTGCTACTTATTCTTGCCCAATAGTGTTTACTTATTTTAATACTTTGAGAGACTCTACCCTGGGGTTAATTTCATGCCAAATTAAAAGTTCATTCAGAGACCAGGTGCGGTGGCTCACGCCTGTAATCACAGCACTTTGGGAGGCAGAGGCGGGTGGATCACTTGAGGTCAGGAGTTCAAAACCAGCCTGTCTAACATGGCGAAACCCCGTCCCTACTTAAAATACAAAAAATTAGCCGGGTATGGTGGCGGGTGCCTGTGATCCCAGCCACTCGGGAGGCTGAGGCAGAAGAATCACTTGAACCTGGGAAGTGGAGGTTGTGGTTAGCCAAGATCATGCCACTGCACTCCAGCCTGGGCAACAAGAGCAAAACTCCATCTCAAAAAAAAAAAGAAGGAAAGAAAAAAAAAGTTCGTTCAGAATAATGCACATTAGAAAGCTGCTCATCTTCCCCACATATGCACTTTATTATTTTTGGATTTCCTCGAGACAACTTCAGTCTATTTTCACGAGCACAGACCGGTCTTCCCTGGAGCCAGCTTTAGTAGGGAGCTGGTTCAGCCGGTCAGAGCCACCACAAGGAAAGACCAGGCTGAGCCCGGCCACTGAGCAGCAGCGGCCCCCCTTTCTTCAGGGCCATTTCTTTGACCAGGGGTGAGCTTCTGTGAAGGATGGTGTCCTCTATAGGAACTGTGCTTCAAGGGTAGGATAATTTAGAATTTAGGGCATTGTAAACACTCTATTACTTCTCTGCTTCCAAGTTTTCCTCTGAAAATAAAACCCACCTCCCTGGTCCTAGTAGTATGAGCCATGACCCTTTTGCACGATACTTTGCAGACATTTATTAAATTCCATCTCAGTTTAAACCATTATCTAACAAATATATGTACTTTTAAAAACTTAATTGATAGCTCCAAACCTTATAAACTAATTTAATCATGCTACCACCAAATAGATACTTTACAAATCCAGAGCATTAAAAGTTTTTATGATGGGTGCACCAAAGTCTCAGCAGTCACCATGAAAAGAACTTATGCATGTGAATAAATACCACGTTTTCCAAAAACCTACTGAAATAAATAGTATAATAAGGAAGGAATGTCTTATTGAAATTAAATCATTCAAATATGAGCAAAAATAAAAAGTTTTAAAAAATATATACATCAGATGCCCCTTTTGGGGGACAGGCTGTTTTTTTGCCAAATTCATTCTATCTCCTCATACCTCATGGAAAATTTTCCATTTAAAATAGCTTTACAAATTATAATTAACATAATTTTAATGTACATTCAATCATGGAAATATTACTATAGTCACAGGTTTAAAATAATACACCAGAGAAAGAAAGCAGTGACAAGACTGAAATCTTACACATTTTAAAAGAAAATGCAGGCCAATATGATCGCCTTAGTAAAATTGTATTCATGTTCAATTCTTGCATTTTAAATATTAACCTTAAATAAGGAGACAGTTATTTTTCTACAAAAAAATTTTAAACAGATGTTTTAGGCAAATTAAGCACAGTAAACACTACTACTAAGCTTCATTTGATTCCTCTGATATATAATACATAACACACAATAACACCTTCTCTTAATTTCCCTAACATTTCTTTTATAAATGAACAAAAAGATTCATTTTAGAAAAATGTATTGGCTATATTTATAAGTCTCACATTAGGCTCACTCTTTAAAAGAACTTTTTTTTTCTTTTTTATTTTTATTTTTATTTTTTTTGAGATGGAGCCTCACTCTGTCACCCAGGCTGGAGTGCAGTGGTGCAATCCTGGTTCACTGCAACCTCCACCTCCCGGGTTCAAGTGATTCTACTGCCTCAGCCTCCTGAGAATCTGGGACTACAGGTATGTGCCACCATGCCCAGGTAATTTTTTTGTATTTTCAGTAGAGACAGGGTTTTACCACATTGGTTAGGTTGGTCTCGAACTCCTGACCTCAAATGATCTGCCCTCCTTGGCCTCCCAACATGCTAGAATTACAGGTGTGAAGCCACTGTGCCCGCCCTAAAAGAACTTTTGATAACTGCATTAACTATTATAACCTTGTTCTGCCTACAGATTATCACAATTTAGAAACAAAGTTACTGAAGACAAAATTAAAACAGTTCACCCACTGCCCTCACCCCCCAAAATTAAAACAATTCATCATGTCAGAGCCAAGAAATATGGCAGGATTATTATTCCTTAGAATATGTAACACTAAATTTTCTTTGGAGTCATCCAAGATGCTGATGAGGGAAGTGGAGAAGTGAGATTTGTGTAGATGCCCCATTTTACAGGTGTTTTAGTTGAAACAAACCTTAGTACGGCTCTTTTATAGAAAATTCTGTCAACAGGTCTGGCCCTCCATCTATGCTTAGTCTCACTTAAGGGTCATGCTTTTTACTCTGCCAAAAGTAATGAAAGTAACTTCTGAACTTAGAATGGAAGTAGATCTGCATTTGCAAATACACGTCACAGACCTGACGGACATCATTTTCCTTCATAATGTGTCTTGTAATGTAGCGAATAGAATCGAGCGCAGCTTCCATTGTGTTTCTAGAAGATTCTGGTCCACTCCTGCTCTCAGTTTGCTCCTTCTGAGTGAAGTACCTATCCGCATGACTTCTCATGCAAAGCAGTTTGGGAAGCTTGTGAAGAAATATCTTGCGCACCCAAGGTGCCATGGCATTATGTGTTGAGGAAGAACGATGATGAATGTTGATAGCGAAGACGGTTACCATAATTGACAGTGTCACAAAAATCATGGTAAATACCAGATACTCTCCAATCAGAGGTATGACTTTTGAAGATGAGGGTATGATCTCTTCAATAACCAGCAGGAAGACGGTCAAAGAGACAAGAACTGATGTGCAGAGACAAATCTTTTCACCTTCATTTGAAGGAAGATAGAAGACAAGTACAGTTAAAAATGAGAGCCCGATACAGGGTATTATAAGAAACAAGGTATAAAAGAGAGGCAGGCGCTTGATTACAAATGAGTAAGTGACATGCGGATACCAGCAACAGCTGTCGGTTCTGTTTCCTTTGCTCCCCGTTGCGCTCACTATCTCCCATTCTCCATTATCAAAAAAATCTCTCTTGTCTACATCTTGGTCCTCTAGAATTATATCAACCTGCGATCCATCATAAGTCCAAGAACCAAATTTCATGGAACAGTTCTGTAGATCAAAGGGGAAAAACGTGACATCGATGGTACAGGAACTTTTGTAGTTTGCTGGTGGAGTCCAGGTGACAGTGCCATTGTATCTGATGACTGTTTTCGTACTGGTCCCTTCAAAACGTCCATCTGCGCTAAAATACACACATATACAATAATAACGCACGATGAATTGTATTAATAGAAGCCTAATATAAAATCAGGCCTATCACTGATTGCATGAAATAATTTTTAAGTCACTATACTTCAGATAAGATACACCTGCTACACATAGGGGACCCTCCTCTAGGAATATCTTCCTTAAATGTCTAACTCTACTAGAACTGAACCCCATCTTCTGCAAATACTCCAGGACTGACAAATCTCTATTTCACAGAAGCCTGAGATTCTACTGGTTGAAAGGACCTCACCTTACAAAATAGACTCAGGCTATTTACACAATGGGCACCCATACAGCCAAAACCTGATTCCACATTCCTAGACTTGTTGCACAGTGCTCTTTCTTCCTTCATCACAAATACTGGCCACTTTTTCCTTCGATAGAAAAAGACCATCAACACCAAGCTGGGCATGGCCCTGAAAAGCAGCTTTGCCTCTCAAGCTCTCCCACCAAGTGCATTCATATACCGGAGAAGTCTAGCAGGAAAGCACACCTCCAACATAAGATTTCTTTAAAATATTGTTCTTCGTCTTCAAATTCATGTGGCTTTTGCACACCGTTCTGTGATATACCCATGTTTAATACAAAAATGTGTTCAATTACTGGAAATAAAACAATGCTCCAAGAAGCTGCATCGTGTGTCCTTACAAGCTTTGTTCATTTCTTAAGAAGCATGGAGGTAAAGGGTGTCAAAAGATTAAAGATATTTTTGCATAGCAGTTGCTCTGTCCTCATGCCAAACACCTTCTTTCAAATCAAACAAAATGCTTTAAGATTAGCACAAATTCCTAGCTTTGCCCAGGAGTGGTCTTAGGAAAAAAAAAAAAAAATGGTACTCAGAACTATCCTCTCCCTAAGTTTAAAAAAAAAAAAAAAATCCTCAAAACACACCTAGGTAGGATGCCTCTGAATTAATAATTAACCCAGGATCCCTCATTATGGGAAACAATACAGCATTTAAACACAATTAGAAGGATGCATATTTGACATGAAATATGACCTCAGTGATGTAAAAAAAACATACCCAAACAATCCAGAGTCCACCAAATATGTAGTCTAGCAAATCAAAGGGTAAATGGAGCCATCAGTCCCCCTGGTGTGACCCCCTACGCTGCCCGCATGCGAGCTCTGTGATCTTGGGCAAGAACCACCACTGTAAACCTCTGTTTCCTCATCTGTAAACATGTCATCACACCCAGCACATGCGGTCATGTCATTTGATTTTTACACCTCAACAATTTTCAAAAGGGAGAAAAATTCTTAGTGCCTAATAGTAGTATACATGTTTTCTTTCAAAAATATAAAACTATATTTAGAATATAACTTACTTATCAAACAAAACGATGTCAGGTGTCCAGACAGAGTCTGAA